TCTCTTCTCTTCTCTTCTCTTCTCTTCTCTTCTCTTCTCTTCTCTTCAGTGCAGTGGGTCTCCTGACTGTGGAGCCCATGCCCTTTCTGTTGTCCCATACTAGCTCCGGTGGGTACTGTAAAGTTTATCTGTACGGTAATGAAGTATTCATTGACTTTAAAATTTTACCTCAGGCTAGCCTTATATCCAGATTTGTATTTATGAGACTCTTTTATGAATCATTCTCCAGATTAGGGTACTTTTCAGTTGAGCAGAGATTGAACATAAAGTCAGTTTTAGTCTTTGTCAACTTGATTACCTCCCTGGAGACTAGTTAGTGTTAGAACTTCTCGGGGTTGATGGTATAATACTGTGACACGCTTCTAGTCACCTTTGTTTATAGAAGTCTTCCTCCCCAGACTCCAGCCCCCAGCATGCTTGTCCAAGTATCAATACAAATAACACAAGTTTTGAATAATGAAAACTTGGAAGCAATGTCACCAAAATTTTGACATGAAAGGTCTGGGCAGTACCTGTAAGGTTCAGAGGAAGCTTTCAAGTGCATCTTATTTAACCTTGAATGTTTTAGTTGGCAGTCATACCCTAGCCTATTCTTCTAGCTTTAGATGAGTAAGAAGCTGCCATAGATTCCATGATAACCTATAGAAATATGGTTATGTGCTAGATTAAAAAGAGCAAGGAACTATTGGTTTTAGGTCTCACTCTGCAACAAACTTGTAGGAATGTGGGTAATATCTCTGGAGTCTCAGTTTCCTTGTGTATCATTACTTCAAAAGAGCCTTGATTTTTTTTTTCTTGATGTGGGCCCTCCTTCCACCTCTGCAGGTAACAGTCAATCAAATAAGAAGTCTTTATTATACACTTACTACATTTCAGGTACCACTATCAGTGGGCAGAAGAAGACAAGAGTAAAACAATCTGTGCCCCAGAGGAGCAGCTTATGATGCACCTGAGGATTCCCCCTTTGCTTTTTAATAGGTTAACTCCGTAAATTGCTGTGGCTAAAAATGTTTTTATCACCCAAAGATCTCATGCCTTCTGGTGAGGGGCCTAGCTTCATTTCTCTAGGCTGGCCCTCCTGACAGTCACAGCCTCTGCATCTTGCTAGGCCCAAACTCAAAACCTTTATACCTTGAGCTAGGATCTGCTAGATCTTATATTTTGCTGCCACTTTGAGAATGTAGGGTTGTATCCATGCTACAGTGAGTCATCAGAAAATGACTTTAGCATGTAGAGGAATAAGACTACAGAGTCACTGAAAGTTTTTGAACAGCGTAGTGAAGTGGTCCAAGTTATGCTTGAGGATGACTCAGCTGGCAGTGGTATGTAGGTTAGGATGAAAGGTTAAAAAAAAAAAAGCAGAAGGTATGGAGACCAATTAGGGGATTGTTGCAGTCATCTGGCTATGAGATGATTAAGACCTAGACTAGGGCCAGGACTAGTTAGTAGGAACCAGAGAGACAAATTTCCATCTTCCTTTTGGCCTTGTACAACCACACTTCCTTCTGAATTTCAGGTGTCTCCCTTCATATGTCAGTAAATGTTTAACTGCTGTCTCTCCAGGGGAAAAAATGTATGCATGACATGCTTTTGAATTTTAAAATTTAATCTGTATTATTAAAGTATTCTTTATCATTTTCTTAAATCTGGACAGTCAACGAAACAATAATAAACAAATAAATCAAGCCTGATATGTAGCATTTGCTGATTGCCAAGGAGTCAATGCTTATGCTGAAAATTTAACAACTGAGCCTCTTGAAATGATTTGAGCTGATTCCAGCACACCTCAAGTTGTCTCCTGGTCTGCAGTGCTTTTCAAAGTCATCTTCTTTTGACCTTAAATGTCCTTAGATTTTTCTCTGCCGTGATTGGTCAGATGTTTGTGTCCCAGTGCTTCTCTGAAAATTCTCAGACTTCTCTGTTTTACTCATTCTTAGGATCCTATAGTCATAGAATCCTAGAATGTGAGGGGTTTCTCTGGTCATCTGGTTTAACCTCCACCTGAAGCACTTTTCTTTCATAAAGCCCAAGCAGACACACACAGGGAGATGCATATATACACCTCACTTGGCTGGGAGCTTCCATCAACTCAAA